TCAATCCAAGGGCAACTCTGCCATCCTTTATAGCATGGCTGCCTGAGAGGCTGGAACTCATTCGGCGGCTTAGCAGGCAAACGTATTAAGACCTGAGTTGGAGGGAGTGATGCTTGGGATCCCAAACAAAGGCTCTTTTACTGCTTCTCGTGCTTTTGTTGAAGTCAGAAATTACTGTGGCTTTTCTTGTTGAAGCTAGAACTCCTGGGGAAGCTCCAGCCACTGAAACTTGGGCTTGTCTGTCTTGCATGGGGAGTGATATAGAAATGCAGAGGCAGGAGATCCTTCTCTTCTGTTTACCAGACTTGACAGATTTAGACAGAGGAGCAGTGAACTTAACATGTGAGGTAATTATTGTGTTCTCCGTGACTGGAGTATGAAGGAAATTATTTAACTGATCCCAGCAGAGCATGAGGAGGGATAGTTATGAACATAGACTCATAGCTCTAAGCTTCGTTTGCTGAGCCAGCAATGCACCTGCAGTCTAGGTGCAGACATCTAGCTAGACCAAAACAGTGCTGGCAGAAATGGATGCCTGCTGCCTGACAGTCCTGCAACAGTGCCATCTCAAAAGTTTCATCCAAGGGCTTGTTTCCTCCAAGGCTAGGGAAGATAGCCCACCAGACCTTCTCTTAAACGGAATTCAGTCCCTTTCTGCCTAGAGAATTCTGGTAGATCTGAGGTGGACTAGATCTGATCAGACATGAAACTGCTGTTAGGGCTCTGTACCTGTAATTCAGCCACAGCTGATGTGTAAGTGCTATTAAGTGATAACTAGATGTGAATTTGGCAAGCATTAAAAGTGGAAAACATGCCTGATGAGCTTGACTGATTACTGGATCAAATGCTTGCTGTTGGGAAGGTCAGTTGTTAAATTCTTCCCACTTGCATCCCGTCAGGAGGCCTTGAGCAGAACGTAACACTAGTTTTACTCTAACAATCTTGCCCTGTGGAGCTCTGCAAACAACCCCAACAAAACAAAACAAAAAACCAACAACCTACAAACCCATCAGATTGACTATGTTTCTGAGACGACTTCAGATCCAAAGCCCTGTGCAGGCATGGCTGATGTCTGAACTCAAGATCTGGGGCTGTATTTAATATTTCAGGGCTGAGCTTGAATTTCTCTTGGCTGACTGAAAGGAGAAGCATGTCTTTCAGCCTAAAGTATGCTACTGAATTTTGTCTTTCAGACTCCACCTTCCCAGGAACGAGCTGGATAACCCTCACAAGTCTAAAACATGGAAAGTCTATAGCGAGACGTTTGCTGTGGAGGTGAACTTTGTTGAACCGTAAGGGAAAGTCAAAAGAAGGGAGACATGTAAAATTAATCTCTTCCTGGAGAATGCCTTGCTGCTTCAGTATAAAAGGAAGCAGTCTCCTTTTGATGTACTTAATGTATTTCTGTGTAGATACAACTTCTCAAATAAACTTACATGGAGTTCTGTTGTGCAGAGCAATAATACTCTGAAGAGTTACTTGGTATCAGCTGGCTGTCATGCTAACGAGCTGTTGGATCCTTTGGAGCTTAGATGTCTCTACATCCAGGTAATCCCTACTTTATTAATCCAAGACAATTGTCTGTCTTTAAGCAAGAGCATAACCTGATGGTGGGTGGAGACCAGCAGTCTGCAGGAGACTGCTGGAAAAAATCCGACACCTTCCCCTGGTATCAGGGGTTTCCACGGGTCGGTAGAAAACTCGCTCCTTTGAGCTAATGCTGCACATGCTCCCTGACACCTCCTGAGCTGTACAAAGACCCGTCATGCCCACACTGCCAGGATGCTCATTCTACTTCCAGCTGTTCTCAGCAGCGCAGCTCTTCTGTGGAGACTGTTCATGTCTTCCTTGATGTGAAATGTGTGGAGGTTAGCTGCTTGGTTCTGTGGCTTTCTTAGTCTTTTTGCTGTTGGGAACCAAGAGTGGAAGGGCAGTGACACAGCGAGGTACTGGCTGTGGAAAGCTAATGAAGTGAGCAGAGAGGTCCCGTGCCATACTGCTGCTCACTTGGGGGTAGTGGTGTACTGCGAAGTCAGGCGTGGACTCAACTTTTGCTACTGCTGTGTAAACCATTTGGTATTTAAGAGCTGGGCTGTTGGCGACTCCCACTGTTGGAAGCTGCTTCTGTCAGCACTGTACTTCGAGTATGGAGGCCGAAACCTGTCTTGAATGACCAAGTGTTCCACAGCAGGGTGCAGGTGCAGGGTGGAGTGAGCCTGGTCACACGTAGTCCAAGCTCCTGTGCAAACCAGGCCCAGCTAGAGCAGGCACTCACCCTAGTGCAGTTCCGTGCATCTCCAAGGCTTTTACCCAAGCCTTAATCTTGTAACCACTTTTCCTTCCTGGTTGGAATTTTCCTTATTCCAGGTTGTAGCTGTTGTATCTTGTCCAGCCCCTGTATGCCTCTGGGAGGATCCTGGCCCTACCCCCTCCCATGACTGAGGTAACTGCAGCCAGCAGTAAAATTTCTCAGCTTTCTATTATGGGTGAACAAACTGTTCTCTCCACCATGCGTCCTCCTTACCCTCTCCTTGACTTGCTCTACTATTTTCACCGTGGAATGTGAAATTGGAGGTGGTATTCCCCATCTACCCCAGGCGGCCAGAACTGCCCCCTTTGCTGGCTCCAGAGCCTGCTCTTGGGGCCAGGGTGTGCTGGCTCGTGTTCAGCTTCCGCAAGGCTGTTCCCCAAGCCCAGGTGTTGCTTCAGAGGCTCCAGGTGTTATTGCACATAAACTGCCCCTCAAGGGCAAAGGAAGAAATACCCCCTTACAGGGGAGCGAGACCAAAGCTGGGTTGCTGAGGGCAGTGGACCAAGGCAGACAAGGCCCCTGCCTGCACTGGAGGTGCTCGGAGCTGGAGAGAGGGCAAGAGTTAGATTTTTCTACCTGAAGGGGCTGTATGCTCAACTTCTGGCAGGAAATTCACTGTTATGGTATGTATGTATGTCTCATGGCAATGAACGAGCTAGATGCTTAGTTCTAATAGTCACTTAACTCTGTGAGTACCAAAGCAACCAGCCGAAGGCTGAACAGGGCTTTATTTTCTGTAGTAGATGATGTAAAATCTGCAGCTGTTTCACAGCACCTTGTCACAGCTAGCACTCCCCCTTCAGCTGAGGGCTTTATTACATTCATTGATTGCAAAAAAGCCTTTTTGTTCATTCTGGAGGGCCAGTGACCCTGACTTTACCCTCTCTTTGTTCCTCAGCTGGACAAGCTTAAGTGTTGTCGCATAAACAAGTCAGACTCAGTTAATCAAATCAAACTTTATTCTCATTATTTCCTGTACCAACATTATGATGTTCTTAGCTGAACAACCAATACATGTATACAGCTTAAGCAGCTGCAAATGGAAAAACTACTGCTTCCATCACCTTCAAGAGAGAAACACATTTGGAGAGTTTATTTCAGCCACCAGTTTCTTGCTGTAGGTTCAGTTCAAAATACCATGCTTCTCCTGAAGCTTCAACTTTTATATTAAAAACTGCAACCCTGAGCTTTAAAAAATGAAAGCAAAGACAAATCTAAGAAATAGATTGAAGTATTCCACTGACATGGAATCAGTCCTCACCTTTTCCTAACTCTTAGAAACATGTACAAATATACTATTTGTGACGTACACCCGGCTCCACTGCAAGGAGCAGGAGGTAGTGAGCTGCTTTCATCCCTGCCTAAAGCTTTTTCCTGTTTCTGGGACCTGAAAGGGAAGCTGTAACATGCAAAACTGAGCTCTTCCAGCTGCGGGTGTTGTCAGTCCTTGCTGTGACAAGCTCCTAATCCAGGATTGTGATGGGTCGCAGAGCTCTGCCCGCGTACCCCGCAGGGATGGGCTGCCACTCCGAGCCGGCAGACACCAGCCCCCCGTCCAACTCCAGGCCTGAAGTGTGGTGCTGAGACCTGCTCTGGTTCTCCCAGGATAGGTAGCAGCTGCCTCTTACAGGGCAGAACAGGCTTGTACAAAGAACATCCTACTTAAAGAAGGAAAGTAGCATCTAGAAATAGGTGTTACTGCGTTATTTTGGGTGACACTGACTAACTGCGTAGTTAATCAAGTAACGTGACCGAGCAGGCACGGCCTCCAGGCCTGGAGAGGATAAAAACCATCCACTCAGAGGAGCTTTTTCACAGGAGCTTTTTCCACTCAGCTGAAGACACAGCAAATGGCAGAACTCCAGCCCAAGTAATTACGAGCTAGGCCAGGGAGACCAAGGTGTCAGTTGTCTCTAAGACCTCAGTTCTGGCTTTTTGCTCCTCTTCAGCTTCCTGTCCTTCCAGCACACGGTCTCATTCCTGTCAAGGTGACCCAAACAAGAGCCTGCACAAAGCTACAATGCTGTGCTTAGAGCCAGCAGCTATTTCCAGCAGTCTCCCTTATATTAAGTGTTTAATTCAAGGGTGCTTAGCAGACTCCAGCACTACTTGAAAGGATTTGTAAATGAATAAAATGCTGCACAGACTCCTTAAACCCAGTAACTACATCGTTTTATCTCAAATTCAGGCATCTCTCGGGCTCCAAGTCATACAAGTCCAAGGTAAGGAGTGAACACTTCCTATTTTTATAAGCCCATTCCCTGGGACAGAGTACATGAGTCAGACACCAACTGCCATGACCTTGGAAAAATCAGAGCAGAAGGGAGCTGGAGAAGGGCAGGGGCATGTAGAAGCCAGGCACGCTCGGCAAGATTAGCCAGCACTGCTGTTAGTTTGTGTCAGACACTTGCCCTTACCAACTGGGCAAGCTCAGCACCACAGCGCAGATTTTAGAACGGTGCCGCCTCTTAAAGAAAACACAGCTTACTGCTGCATGTTACATTAAACCCAACAGGTCAACATTAAGTCTTTCTAACTATTACAGGTCAGGAAAATACATTTAGGACACGCAGTGCACCTAGTGCAGAATCTGCAAGATGGAGATTGTTCTGCTGGTTCAATTCGAGCAGCATGTACACGTCTCTCTAAAATCACCTGAATTTAAAAGATTACAAATTTTAAACTGGAGTTGAGTTGGGCCCTGCTCAGACCACGATGTGATCTACAGGGGTTTGGATCGTTTCTTTAAGTGATCCTTAAACAACCATTTGCACTCCATCTGCGAGAAGGTATCAGTAAGAATCTATTTGTTTCATCATCAGCTTCCGGCTGTACTCGTAGGCGAGGAACAGTGCCCCGTTGGCCAGGAATGCACGGATCATAGTTGGCTTTAGTCCAGAATACAAGGCAAGTACCCCTGGAAATTAAATCAGAGCCAGTTTAGCCATTTATTGAGTTGCTCATCTGCAGCAACCCCTGTGCTTTTTCTACCTGTGAAGGACACTGAAACAATGCTGCTGCTTCGAGGGGCACGCAGAGCGCTGAGCTCCCTGGTTGTAGCTCCTACCTGCAGTGTTGCTGGATGTTGCTCGAGGAGCAGCACCTGGAGGTGTACAGGAGTTCAGCCCTAAGCGCTCAGCGATAGAAGCTTATTGCGGGTCTGACAAGGCCTTCAGAGGGGCCACCCCCACCTTGCTCACCCGAGGACACAGTTCACAGCAGCTGTACCACAGCTGGCAAGGGGACAGAAGGACAACGGGGCCGCGTTGGAGCCGTGCCCCAAGTCAGACCCCTGCTCTGACGAGTGTCTCCCCGGGGAAGGGGGCCAGGACTCCTACCTGCTGCCATCTACATTCTCACACCATCTTCTGAAGTGCCTGGCGCAGGCCAGCTCCACCCAGGAGACAGGGGCAGATGCCCCAGGTTGCCAGGCTAGATAGGATTGATTTAGCAAATAGCCCTCAGCCAGCCCTATATTGGCTTCTAGAGGCAAAGAAAAATTCTGTACTGAGCTTAACCGGTTCCTTCAATTTTCACGTGTATGTTTTGGAGCTTCCATTCCTTTATCTGCTTTTAATGGATGCTGAGCTGTTATCGGCTTTAAGTTCATTGTCTCCCAAACCAAGAGGCAAGGCAGATACAGGAGGTCTCGATTTCTAGATTCTAAGCTTTCCAGGCTACATGAAACATCAGTATTTCTGTTTGTGAGAAACAGCTCCTGTCTGTCTCTAACACATTAGCAGTGGACTAGATTTCTTGAGCAGTTTTTGTATTGGAGGGTGGAGATTTCAGCCTGCAGCCCTACAGATTCAGCTGATACACTGCGTACTCACCTTCAGTTCTCACAACAGTTGCAAATGTTCCCATAAAGCCTGTTTGTTTTCCAGCCATTGAAAGAACCTGAATTCTAGATTTGACACAGTCCACAGGATACACAGCAATCCACAGACAACTGCCTCCAAAACCTCCACTTAGTAGCAAAGGAATGGGACCTAAAGTTAAGAAACAAGCTTTTATACACACCACAAAATATCCGCAGCAAGCGTCACAAGATCTCACATACAGAAGTCAAAGAGAACACAGAGGAACCTGCTTATGACAAAAGAAACAGCTCCAGCGCAAACCTTTAGGTTAATTTTAAGCCACTGGTAAGTTGCAAGTCTAACCAGAAGCTCAAAGGTTACAAGGAGTGCCTCTCAGATTTCTGGCCAGGATAAAAAAGCGTAACGTGGAATTCTGTTTTGACTGTATTAAGTAAATTAACTCCATTCCTTCCACACTTGCAATCACTTTCCCAGGCTATCTGTGAAACACTTTAAAGTAACATCAGGGCCACTAATCACAGATACCTGCTTGGTTCTGCAAAGTTACTTTGTGATCAGTCATTTTCCATGATGCAACCTCATTTCACATTAGATGTTGATAAACATTTTGCAACAACAGGGACCAGAATGCATGTAGGGGAAATCCAAACTCCCAGCAAGACAAAGTATTGCTGTTCAGCCTTTCAAGAGGAGACAAGCAATCTTTAGTCTGGCATCTCCTCATCTTTTCAGGTCTAATTTTCCATCTCAGTGTTCTCTTACTATCACTGTGATTACATCTAACGGTCGGCACACGTTTCAGCATACGCGTGAACACACGGTTCAAAAGAATACAGCTAAGGCTAGAATGCTTCAAAAAACAACAAAATCACTCTAAACAGCTGCTGAAGTGAAATAGTTCAGAACTGTGTTACAGCACAGGGTCAGATATTTTAGTAGTTTTGTAGTATCAGTGTTAGCTCACTGTATTTATTCTACGTTTATAATACATCCTGCTCCGTTGGAAAGCGGTCACTTCAAGAATTCAGTACTATATATACACAAAATGCAGACTGCCATATTTTGTGTGCCCACTTTCCTTCATTTTACAACTGCTGTGCATCATCAGTGTATTTTCAGGGAACATATGCCCAACCACCCTTATGACCCCCGTAACAGCATGCTAAAATCCACCAGGCAAAAGAGACACCATACCTAATTCATCTTTTGATCTCCCAGAGGCAAAGAATGTCCGGCTCAGTTCGTACCCTCCAAAGAAGAAGAAATAGCCTGGGACTTCCCGCAGCAAAGTGCTTGACAGGCCACGGTAAAATCCGAGGGGACCATCCTTCTGAATAACACCCTTCACTACTGACCAAACTGTACTGATGGAGAGGTTGATCCAGTTAGTGATGCCTAACAGCCAGCTAACGAGAAGGCTGCAGAACAACAGGCAGCTGCAGCAACAATGAAGGGTTAGACCCATTGTTTAAACGGAACCCAAGTGAGACTTGGAACAAGATCCTGCTGGGAGCCCTGAGCTGGCAGCCAGCTTTACAAGCACCTGAAGGATCTGCAGGCTGCAACCCCCCCCCCCCCCCCCCCCCCGCCACAACTCCCCTCTGGTTAACAGCGCACGGCCAACGTGACACCGAGCCAATACAGGATTGAAAATAAAACAGTACACACAAGAGGGTTTCAGAGACGCTGGGCAGGGGGTATACTTACTTGTGTCCCTGGATTATTTTTCCTGACAGCTGCATTTCATGCATGGCCTGCAGCCGACACTTCACCAGCTCTGTGGGGCAGAGGACAAGGGTGGCGAAGGCAGAGGCGAAGGAGCCTGCAGCAGCGTTCTGCAGATCACTGCAAGAGAGAAACTGCAGAAGGTATCTGGGCACTGACCTTCAGTGTGGTGGAGCCACTGCACCACCAGCCTGCTTCCTGGACCTGTACTCTAAATATCATCAAGAAAAACTGATGCACAGTCTTGGGGGGAAAACAACTCTCAAGAGAAAAGGGCACTTACCTGAGCTAGGGAGATGAGAAACCTGGCTCATCCCATCTTCATACACAGCTCGGATGCATCCTTCAGACACCCAAGAAGATTGACTGCAACCTCTACCTTTTTTGCTGTACTTTAGTGATTGTAACACTAAATATAACTAAATATAGAATAAACACTATCAAATCTTCCCCTCCGTGGCTTTTATAAGCATTTCCATTGAGTTGTTGCACTGGGCAACTTTTGGGTACTAGTCACTTCCTCGAAGAGAAGAGGAGCAATTATCACCTCCTATAGGTGCTGGTGTTTTCAAAGTCACCTTAGCAGCATTAACACAGGTTTTCAGTAGAAGATGCCAGAAATCCCAAAGCAAGGCACAATCACAGTGGACCGCTACCATCTTCCTATGGACGTGCTGCCATGAATGGGACCACGCGAACCAGGCAGTGGAGAGAAACAAAGCACACCACTGAGCAAAGACCGCCCTGTAATCTGCACTGACTCACAACATTCCAAAATCGGGGCTTTCTTTGCGGTGACTTCACACACATCAAAGCCTGGGCTGTTCATCTGCCAGGACTCGGGCGGCTGGTACTCCAGGATCATATTCTCTCCGACACGCTTTAAAGGGGCTCCTACAGACACGGGTGTGTTGGACAGAAGCTGCACAACAGCACAGAACAAGCGAAGCTTCTCTCTTCTCTCAGAACCTGGGGAGGCAGCGCAGCTGGGACTGCCCTTACTGCTGCACAGAAATTCTTTCTGTAGGCAGGAGGTGCCTGCCCCGTGGCCAGGAGTTTTATACACCTGTCGTATCAGAGAGTACAGCTACAGCTTTTCACCTCGCAGAGCATCACGGAACTAAAAGCTGCGACACGAAGCAAAGCTCCTGACATTCAGATACGGCAGTGACAAGATGTCCTGGGTTGAGTGAGTGGTGGAGTTTTTTGGTGGCAGGGGAGGGGGCTATCGGGGCATCCCCCTGTGAGAAGCTTCTCGAAGCTCCCCCAGCTCCACGTCAGCTCCACTTCTGCACCAAAACTGAGCCCATCAGCTGCGCCTCTGCGATAACGTATTTAAGAAGGGACGTGGTGACGGGCAGTGGGACTGGTGAGGAGGAGTTGCTGCAGCTGCATGAACACCAAGGTCAGTGGAGGAACAGAGGAAGAAAGGAGTGGGGAGGTGTGCCTGAGCAGAGACCCCCCTGTATCCTGTGGGGAGACGGCAGGGTGGCCCCCCCCTGCCACCCATGGAGATCTACGGTGGAGCAGACACTGATTTATGGCCTGTTGTTCCTGCTCGCATAATCAAGGTGCTGTGCCCGAAGAAGGCCGGGGTCTCATGGGAAAAGGCAGCCCCGCTGCTGTAATTCAGCGCGGGGAGGATTGCAGCATGCGGGGGAGTCCCACGCCGGAGCAGCTCGGGAAGGGCTGCAGCCGTGGGAGGGAATCCAGTCGGAGGAAGTTAGTGACCCATGACGGAGCAGTGTGGGGAACGCTGCGGCCCGTGGGAGGGACTCATGTCGGAGAAAGTTTGTGGAGGACTGTCTGCTGTGAGAGGGGGACCACGATGGAGCAGGGGGAACAAGTTTTGGACACTCCCCTCACCGAAGCTGAAGGAAGTGGCAGCACTGCCTGCACCCCCCATTCCCTGCCCCTGCGCCGCTGGGGGAGGAGGTAGAGATATCGGGAGCAGAGCTGAGCCCGGGAAGAAGGGAGGGGTGGGGGGAAGGTGTTCTCAAGATGTGGCAATGCTTCTCACTGTCCTACTCTGTTAGGTGTTGTTAGTGTCTGTAATAAATGTATGGTTTTTTTTCCTTCCCCTAACAAGTCTGCCTCTTGCTCGTGATCATAAAAGGGGGATTTTCCCCATCCCAGTCCTATCTTGAACCCCAAGCCTGGCTCTCTGTCCCTTCTCATTGCCGGAGGGGAAGGGAGAGAGAGCTGCTGCATTGTGGTTGGCTGCCAACCAGGCCCAAACCACAACACAAGAACCATCAAAGAAATCAGGAACTGCCCGGAGAGCAGTGACCAAATAATACGCAGTCAATGAGGCCTGGCAACACGGAGTGTGCAACCCTCTTGCAGCACACAAAGCTTGGCATAACAGGGATCTGAAATGCAACCCACTAAAGCTGAAGACAGAGCAAGGCAGAGTTGAAAGTATAGAATGGGGCTGAGCCCTACAGTTATTAAGCTGTGAGCTAGAGCAAGGCAATAAGGTTATACACTGAAGAATTAGGATAAGAAAATAGGGAAGAGGTGCCTTCTAACGGGTGCATAGGATCCTCCCTCCTTCAGGAGAGAAAGAAAAACCAATGCTATCAGACAAAAAGAATTCTGACAGATGTAAAGGACTAGATTTAGCCATAATTCAGGTATTTTCTACTTTTACCTGCTGATATTGAAGTTTGTATGCAAAATTAAACTATACCCACTGTTTAGGCTTTGGTCTTTAATATAGTGAACCTCACCACAGGAGTGGTAAGTCTTGAATGCTCTTCAGGCTGCCTGTCAACTCAAAATGCCTAATTCAATACTTTTCCTGGATGGGAGAGTTTTGATCACACATCACAGGAGCAAGAATCCTCTACTCTTACACTGCTGCTTCTTCTGTAAAAGGCATTTATCTTGTTTTTTCAAAGAAAATAACCTGCTGAAGATGACTAGTCACGTACTGAGGAAGGCAAACTGAGGTGAACAAGGATAATAGCTCTCTCAGTTTAGACTTTGAAATCAGTTTGGTTGGACTAAATGGATATTAAGAGATAAATGGAATTCAGCACTTCTCTCTCCACTTGTTTTCTGACTCATGCATCAGTGGCACGTACTCCTTTAACTGGAAAAACTGTTGTTTTGTAACTGCCCTTGTAACTGTTTTGCAAGGCTTCACTCACTGACCAGGGTATCTCTAAAAACAGGCAGGCTAAGGCAAGCTTATTTCCAAGCCATTTAAAGGTGTGACTGAAAAAGTAACTTAAAGCAAAACCCAACTATTATAGCTCGTTTTGAGAAATCTCAAACATTATAAAATAATGAAGAAGTGAGAAGCAATTGCTTATATATGGGTAAGAAAAATGGTCAGATTCACCTCAGCAGGTGACTTGAAATACGTTCTTCAGGCTAAGACAGTCTGACAGGTTTTTAAACAGCAGAGGCAACTAGGGCAATTATAGTTCTTCGCTTGTCATGCCTGGAGGTGAGCCACCTCATCAGGGTTTCTCCCCTCCCCTACAGCACACTACAAAGGCTTCTTGGCTCTTCTACAATGAGAATGGGTGGGGATGTCCTGGACAGACCACACGGACCCAGGGCACCACCACAGACCTCGTCAAGGCAGTTCTCTCATACATGCACCTTGTCAGACGCCCCCACGATGACCCAGATGAAGAGATCAAGGGAGCAGCACCAAGGGAGAAAGCTTTCAAGTAAACTTAAGTCCTTTATTGTTTTATCCTAGCACAGCCATGCAGTCAGACCATTTGCTCTTTAATTAACCATGTCTTAAACAGCCATCCTGGATCTGAGAAGCACTATTACCTGACCAAGGAAAGAAGGGTCAGGTGTCAGAGGCAATTGCAATTGCTACAAATTCAAATTCTATTCCCATTCTGTATGCTAGCCCAAAAGGTAGGGAACAGCACACCTATGTATACTGTTTGAAAATTTCCCATTCTACCTCCCCTACGCACACACCATAAACACACTGTCTCCATTACTTGAAGAGATGATCCTAGGACCTCTGCAAGTCTGTGGTCTACCTCCCAGGAGGATCACAAAAGATGGTTAAGCAGCAAAGCATACCATTGGTAGGCCCACCTCCTACATTTCAGTGGGTAGGAAGAGATAGGGGGGTCTAAGCTGAGAAAGCAGAAACCCCCTGATTTAAGAAAGCGATGAAGGTGGAAACAGTTCTGTCAGCTGAGGCATCTCAACTGACAAAAAACAGTGAAAGAGAATGCAGGGAGAAAGCAATTAATATCATTTGTCTCTTCATCGCCTCATGTTCCCTCATATCGGGCCTCAGGCTTCAGATACCTCATCCTAACATGTGACAGGAGAACATCTCACTTACTGCCACTTTGAGATTCTTGTCTTGCACTTCGGTAGCTACCCATGTCACGACAGATCTCAAATGCAGAATCACGGCCTCCCCAGCTACTGCCATTTGAAGAGAGACATGAGAGGAAGAACAAAGCTATGAACAAAGTGATTAATAAAAAGCTGAACGTGGTTAACCTTGCATCAATCTTTGGAGTTAGGACAGTATGAGGAATCTTTTACATACTGTGGGGCAGCACAAGGATGGAGAAGGTGCAGCTACTTTCAGTGATGCACAGAAGACATACCTTGAGAAATGTGTAACAGTAAGGCTCACGGAGACTGCTGGACCACTGACAGCTCTAAAGTGATGCAACACCTGGAGAAAAGCCATCCTCGCTAGAAAGAGATTACGATCATTATGCCAGTGCATAAATCCATGACTCGGTCACACCCCGAATACTCTGCACAGCTCTGGTCTCCTAAACTGAAAACCCTGACACATTAGGATTACAAGAGTTTGAGAAAGACAGCGAGGACAGCTAAAGGAACAGCTTCGGAGCGCTCACTGACCAGGAGGGCTGGAATCCTTCCATCTAGGAACAGATTCGGGTGGGCAAGAGGGGCATGGAGCAATGGATAGAGTTCTACAAAATCCCAGGTAGCATGGAAACAGTGGCTAAGCATCAACTGCCTCTTCCAGTTACAGAATTAATGACTATCACCTGCAGAACTCCCTGCCAAAGTGCACTGCAGATGCAAGGAACTTAGAATTCAAGAGGAGACTGGACAAGTGCTTCGAAAGAGATCCAAAGTCACTGACTGGATCATACCAGGACCAAGAAATCCTCTGAACTAAGAATGTAGCCTGGCAGAGGACTCAGAGTAAGTATTCAACACTTCCTTCTCTTACTTCTCATTCTTTAGGCAGCCACTTATTGCCAGTGCAGTAGACAACACACTGTGCAAAATTAGACTTTTGGTCTAACCACCATTACATTCAAGCTTTTGAGACTTAAATAAATGTTTAAAAGTTAGGCAATATTAGAAAAGTGTCTTTTCCCCTTAGTATGCCTCCCTGTAAGAACCACCACTACCTCCCCCGCGAAAAACAGAACCACCTAGGGATCAAGGGACACCAACTCCCAGGTGTTGCAATGCTCAGTCCCTTTGGTAAAAACATTCCGGGTCTTGACTATTCCAGTTAAACGGTGATTATTGAAACCAGCCAGCTGCAGTGACAAGTAGATGGCTCTGCTGTAGTTAGACACCATAACCTAGCACAAAGGTCTACACTCCAAAACTTACTACACTGCACACTGGCAGAGGGGGGGCCTGAGACATTAGTTGCACCCTAACAGCACAGTATTTCCAAGCAGCAGTTGCATGATTTTTTACTTATTTATTTATTTAAAATTATGAAACGGATTTCTATTACTAACCTGAGCTTTGTTTTCCTGTCTACTCCAACAATTCTTCTCACAATTTGTTGGCAAAATCCATAGCACATGAACAGAACGGAGTTCTCCGCAATGTTGGCTACAAGTGCTGGTGTAGTTCCCTTGTAGAAGCCTCGAAGCCCCACTTGCTTATAGGTTTTCACAAAGCAGTCCACAATTCCTTTGTACATGTCGGGGAACGTCTGCATCTTCACCTTTGCAGTATCAAAGGGCTGGCCAGTCACCACACATGCTGTCCCACCTAAACAAGCAGTGGAAGTTAAGAGGGTGGCTGAAGGTTATCACAACTGAAACACCTACACAGAGTCAGCACTATTAGGAAAATCACACAGAAAGCCGAGATCAATTAATTCTCCACAGGAAAAGACAAGTGCACTGATTTTAGCACAATGTCATCAATTGTCAGTGGTGAATTTATTTACCTGAAATAAAAATAAAAAAAGTCAGGCATAAGAGCAGTAAGAGCTTGAGTCTCATTAAACGTTTCTTTACCTTACTAAAAGAAAGCATCTAAACAAAATGGTTCACTTCTATAAATGGTACTGAATTACAGGTCTTGTTCTACACTCAAGTCACTTGTGCTAACGAGTTAAGCAGCGTGTTCCCTCATTAATGCAGTGGTTCAGAAGCCATCTGATTTTACATTCCAGTAACAAAAAAAATGAAAGATTTGTAATCGAGTGAGACAAAGATTACTCTAGGACAAGAGGAACGCTCCCAAGAGTGCTAAAACTAATGAAACATTATAAATTAATAACCAACAACTCAAGCCCTTTACTTCATAACTCCAGATGATTCTTATGTGCATTTATTCCCACATACTAGGAGGAAGTGTCCAATATAAGCTGGAAAAGGGTGAAAGAGCAAAGTTTCTCAATGTGTTATCTTCTCCAACCTGAACTGCAAGGTCAATACCCTGAAAACTTGTGAGATATTGCCAGCAACGTCACCAATAACCACTCTGCCCACAGTGCAGCGTTATTCCACGAGATCTAACTCAATTCAGTAGTCTGCAGAAAGAGCTAATGTTATACTTCTTCAGTACGAAATACCAGTATATGCTGACAGCAATCTATTAGAAGCCAATATCTAAGAGGAAGCACACGACAGGTGCACCTTATACAGGCTTCACAGTTTTGCCTTTTTAGCTAGAGAGGAATCATCCTAAAACAGAAGCTGATCGTTAACCAAAGCACAGCTGACACGCATACACCATAAAGAGAACAAGTTAACAAGATGTTTTTTCATCTACGAAATAGAAGTAATTATCTGTAAACACAGATAAGGTAAAGAAACTGAAATATAAACACATGTGTGAATCTAGTTAAGATTAGGGTTTGTTTTTTTTTTCTTCTAAGTGGGGAGAAGAATAAACAAGTGTTTTTCAATTGATAAGTGTTTTTCAATGGATTTTACTCATGTTACATTGTTGCTCCTCCGCAAAGAGGTACTTCAGGCCTTTAAGAAAAACTGAAGGTCTAGATGCCATAAAACCTCAATTGTATGGATCATTAAAAACTTCAGAGCAAATCACACAAGGAAGCATGAAGAGCTTCTTGCTCTGGGAGCAATAACCAAGGAGAGAAGTAGCTCGCTCCCACTAGTAACATCCGTGTAAACCTCAGATGAAAAACAGAGTTGGAAAGGCTCAGTCAATGGTACCTGCAGGCAAGACAGTCAGATATTAATCTGCAGGACAAATGCTATGTTCCTGTGTAAAGGTAGACCTAAAACATCTACATGTAGTAAAATAATGGCTGTTGGAAGAAGCCCAAGAAAACCAGGAACGGTCTTGGGAATGCAGAGCTGAAAAGCTGGGAGGTGACTATGAACAGCTATCCCAGAAAGAGAAAGGGCTCTCCTTACACTGTCACTGGAGGTGGCACAAGAAGCCCAGTAAACTACAGCAATGAACTTTGTAAGCCTCAAGTTAAAGACCAAGAGTCACTGTTAATATCTAAAACGTTAAAGAAAAAAGTGATTCTTCCAGCCAGCAGTAAATAGTCTAACACAAAGAACAAAACCAAACCAGAAAAACACAAAAGTCAATCCTGCTTGAATGGCTTAGATGTATGTGGTCCTAATAATAACATGGGAACGGTGGAGAGAAGAGTCCTACTTAATCAGAGAAGTGATTAGAGGTTGCTCAGATCCTAGGCAAAGGACTACGACCCACAGGCAGCTAAACGACTTATTTACTCTTGTTCAGCATTTACTTGCCCCAACGTCATTACTTATCAGCTAGTCAAGACTATCTGGAGAGGAAGGGAAAACCAGGTTATGCATTTGCTGGAGGAACTAGCAGTTTGAATAAATACACTTTCTAAAGAGTACTGAGACATATGCAATACAGAAATGAGTACTACCAGTGAACATAGGCAATACAAAGCAAGTGTGTGAAAAGAACATGGAAAATAAATGCTAGAGAAACAGTACGGTATCTATTACAACAGAAGTAGCAATGAAAAAACAATGATTTAGGATTACTGAAGTCATGTTGAAAAAGGTCTCACTGCCTTCATCTTACCTGAAGAAAGAAGAACCATACCAGAGAAGAAAATGGCATAATTAGCTCTAAGCTCTACTGCCAAAATCCAGGCCAACCTCAAGTACATGCCTTGTTAGCCTGAATGTGGGCATGGGACAGTCAAGCAATGGATTTCTAAGCTAATGATAGTTTCCAGCCCTTGTAGTAGCCAAGAGCTTCAGCTCAGAAAGACAACTTCCTAAGCCAGAGCGCTCCACTGCCCTGGGTGTTGACAGCAGCGTTCCTGAGCTGAGGTACAGAGAAAGAAAGCAATCACACCTCCCATTTAAGCACCTGGAAACACCTGCAAAAGGATTAAGAACTGCACAGGTATTAAGCTACTCCTTTGGGAAACAGCAGATATAATAGCTATTCTTTACTGAGGACTCAAAAAACCAAGGAGAATGAACGGACTAACAGAAATGTATTTTGTTCTAAGGCAATGAAACAATAACAGAAACACTTCTCTTTCCTTGCAGGGAAAGAGGGTGTTGTCTAATCAATTAACATCTTTTGGAAAGGCTAACAAAGCAGGTACTCACTGAGCAAAATGTGGAGGCAGATGAAATGCTTTATGAAGGTGCTACATTGGACTCATGTTATCTGTCACCTCTCGCTTCCTCACTGCACTGATGTTAACTCCACTCTGACAAATGACCTCAAATAACTACCCTTGAATGCACTTCGCAGCATGAATACCGTCATATTCACAACATTAACACCATCAGTAAAAGGACTGAGTGCAATAGCTATTGTCTTGGAAAAATACGAAATTGTTTACACTGCTTACAACAGTACATTAGACAAATCTCTCATTTTCTGTATAAACAGCGTCAGCTCAGAAATGTCAAAAAGACCCCCTTTCCCTGGAAGAGTTAAAAAGATTCGTCCCTCAGCCACAGACATTGCCAACACAGTAACGTCAGTGAGACAATGCAACTCTTTCCACATTTGTGACTGTCACAACTGGTCCAGCAAAACTTCATAGCACAGACTATATTGAAGTGGAAGTTACTGAAGTGAATTCACCATCGTCAGTCCTACGACTGAGCTTCCCAGCTTTTAAAGATTCACATTGGGATGTTGTCCGAGCTAATAACCCTCCAGACAGCCTCTTGCCTATTTCAATTAGAGAGGGTTCCTGTGACAAAAGCAGGACCTCAGTCGCATACATTGAGTTAATTCCAAAATTACTTGTGACTGATTCTTAAACTCATGTAAGCATGAGAACTAATTCTGAAACTTAAATCTCCTTCTGGAAAATTATTAGTCTGAAATAAGGGCTACACCTTCACTGCATGGCAGGGGTTTCCCCAGGGAGGAGTGATAGTGATGCAGTTACAACACTAGCTGAGGTCAGCCGCTTCACCTTCATGTCCTTGAAATACAGAAGGCTTTCTATAGCAACGGGAAACTGCTTTTACATCTGTTAAAGGTATTAAAACTGTCCCTCAGAAGTTCTGTGCAATTAAGTTGTATCCAGCATTACCTGCAGCTCCTGCTGTGAGGTCAATAGCAGCCTGAATAGCAGAGTTGATCCTCATGCTTCACACCTGTTTATCAGTTACTTCAGACTGAAGTCTACCCTTTCCTGGCAGGTGTCAAGAGACTTGTCTCCTAAGGGAAGAGAAAGATGAAGCATACATGATTTACAACAACTGACAGGCAAAAGCATCTCGTGATTGCTTTCACTTCCACTCTTCCATGTAGCTTGTTCTACACCAGAACAGAAAATGCCTGTCCCCAAGACCGAGATGTAACCTATTTGTATTTTGGCTGACTGGTTTTGCTGCATCAGGCAAGTCCTCTGGAGTATCAGTGCCTAGCTTCATACTGGTTGGGCTTTCCAGCTTCTTGTCTCACCGGATCTCTCAAATGAAAGCAAAGAGTACCTCCAGGGAAAAGCGTTGTTACCTTTTTATTGGTTATAGAAGCATAGCGTCCATAGGTGTCTAAGGCTAGCTGGCAGGAACGTGTCCCCCCGACTCAGCTCCCCACCTATAAAGCAAAACAGAGAATTGCTGTCCTCATGGCAAACAGCAGCTAAGAAAACTGCACTCATTATGACAAAGGTACATTAGGTATTCCTATGCGGCTCTCAGAAGCTATCAGTAGAAAGGGAATGAACACGAACACCTAGAATTGCGTCTGGCTGTCATGTTCCCAGTGCAAGCTCCCCCCACACCAGATTATTATAAATAAGAATTACACCCCTCATCTCTCAGGAAGGGAGCTGGGAAGCAGAAACACAAAGGCGACGCTTTCAAATAAAGCATTCAAATTAAGTCAGTTCTCAAGTGTGCAGTAAGGTATTTTCACTAGGTGAGCAGTTAAAACAAGCTTGCTTATCTGGAATAAAATCACTGAGCCAAAGAGCTCCCACTGTTTCAGAGCCATGTTGCTGAGTGAGACACTTGGCTGACAGTGCTGTCAAAAAAGTTGCACGAGTCTTAAAAAACAATGAATACACTCATGAATCAGCCTCTCACTGACTTCTAAGCCTGGCTTCCAGCACAGTGTATCAGTAAACAGAACGCTCTTCACTCTTCTACCTACTGTAATACGTCTTCTGAAGCCTGTTGCCTCCCAAAATAGATTTTAGAATAACATCAATGGGAACAAAATTTCCAGTAGGCTACATTGAAAGAATAATTAAAAAACCAAATTGTGTGAACCACGTCCCTTGTACAACTTTTACATTAGAAGCACAGACACTTGCATATAAGCAAGGCTTTAAGAAAGCCTGTCTCTAAGCAGATTTATTATTCTCAAAGCTTAAAAAAAACCCCAGTAGGTCAAACGCTGTCACTCAGTAACTTCACGTGTCCAATCTGCTTAAGATGTGTTGCATGAATCTGAATGTAATGGGTTTTTAAAAAAAAAATAAATCCCTACTCTTGTAATAAATGGCATTAATACATGCTGTTTCCGAGTTGTGGTTATGGATTTGAACTGTTTCACTACCAACAGCATGGCATGCTAGGTGTTATTTCACAACAGAGGCTCCAACAGCAAGTCACACTTCATTATCCTATAGATCTCGTTAGTGTTCACACAGCACTCCGCAGTTTTGCTTCTGACTTAGGAGGAAGAAAACAACAGATCAGAGAGACGGCCTCTGAATGAGGGGAATTACTAGAGAGCAACAATTGCCTGCATTCAGTAAAACCTGCACTGCTTGCATCATGCTGAGATCTTATCGACTTGTGCCAGTCCCCAGTGGGAGCACATGCCAAATCACCCACAGATATCCACTGAAAGGCTGGCAGCAGATGGAAAACCAGAAATGCCTATAAAAATATGGAAGTTTTAGGAGCCAAGGAAGTTTAGCTTCCTGATCCATCAGAGCACACTGCCGCTTTCAGAAGGTTTAAGGCATAGTCAACGCTCCGGTATTCTCTATGCACATACCTTTCCTCCTATTTCTTTTTTTCCCCATTTGTAATCGCACTAGCAGATTAAAAACTGCTTGTAGATACAACGAGGCAACAGCCGCTCTTACTCCAGAGCAAACCCCAGCCTCACACCTGGAAACACAGCAGCACTGGCCTAACAGGTCCCGCAGCCCCCCCCCCCCGTTATTCTCCGCCGATGCCGCCCCCACCACGCGGAGCCCCCACACCCCCCAGGCAGCACGGCTCCCGCCGGCAGCCGCCCAAGGGCAGGCCGCGGCCCCGCGCCCCAGGCCCGCGCCGGGCCGGGCACCGCGCCCGCGGCCTCGGCACGGAGCGGCTCCCTTTCTTCCGCCGGCGACCCCCGCGGGGCGGCTCTCCCGAGGAGAAGCCCCCCGTTAACCCCACACCCACCCCGTTTGGGCCCGGAAAAGCCCCGGCCTGCCTTCGGCGGGGCGGCGAGGGGAGATGGCCGCCGCTTCCCCGCGCGCCGCTCAGCCCGCCGCCGCCTCCCGCCTCAGGCCCCGGACCGCTCCGGAGCCAGCACTCACCACGGCCCGGCCCGGCCCGGCCCGGTACGGTACGGTACGGTACGGTACGGCCCGGCACACCGCCCGCCCGGGCGGGCAGCCCCGCCGCCGCCCCTATATAGGCGGCCGAGGGAGGCGGCGCGGCCGCGGGGAATACGCGGGGGCCGGGGAGGCGGTGGGCGGGCGGTGGGGCCTGGCCGAGGCCGCGGCCTGAGGGGGTGCCGGGCGGCCTGAGGGGTCCCCACAAATGCCGGCCCCCGGTAGCTGTCTGTTTCTAGAGAGGGTTTTATTTAGGAGTTAAATAGCCTGAAATAACAACAGTTTGTGCCCGCGGGCGAACCGCCGCAGAGCTGCCGTACCTCCCGAGGCGGGTCCAGCCGCCACAGTCGGGCTGGAGCGGGATTTTTGCCTCCTGCGAGTTTGCAGTGTTCGACAGTTTTTTAAAATGTCATTCAAGCAATGGAGGAGAAGGAAAATTAACCCGGGGCCACTTTTTTTTTTTTTTTTTTTTTTTTTTTTTTTGGTAGAATATGACTGAATAATAGTTATGTAAAACAAAAGTGACTATTCTCCTTTTCCCAAAATACAAAAATTCCCACTGAGTTTAGCATATGTGTTAGAGCAGTAAGCCGTACAAGTTTGGAGCTATCTTGTACTTCAAGATACAGCAGTCTACAATCATCTGTCTAAAGTTATAAAGATATACCTGACATCTTGGATGATGACTAAAAGAAAAAAATTTTCTTCTGCCTCTTTAGTTGAATTGAATAGTCAAATAATTGTGGACATACAAATAAAAAAAGTACTCCTGTTCTGCCATATGCTAAACCCTCTAGCTTTACTAATGCATACACAACAGTGACCTGTAGCACGTTAAACTGGACATGGACAGACATTCGCAAGCAGTTTGCTGCAAATCAACAAGTGACTTCTAAATTTAGGGAGATTCTCTCTCAGTTTAGGAGGTCACTTGTTAATCTCTGTAATCCTAGCTTTTGGGGGAATATGAAGTGGCATATAGTGGTTTAAACCACTGTGATGAGGTTTTGTTTTGTTTTGTTTTGTTTTGTTTTTCTTTTGATTAGCAATTAACTGAAGTGCTTGTAATAACGTTCATCAGAAGCAGTGCCCAGTTAGTTGAAAGCAGTAGGACACTGTACAGCCTGTGGGAATGTAAAGGAGCAGTAGCTATAATGTGTGTCAGTGACCAGTAATACTAGAGATACTCTGCCAGACCAGGCAGCGTCTCTGGGCAGTGCTGTACGCCTGCAAACCCTGCTGAGCTGCACATGTGTTTGTGAGGATCTGAACATGCAGACCTACATATTTGAGTGTAGATCCACGGTGTTTTCCCCCAGATAGAACTGACGGCTCCTACTTTCAAAGCTCACACCAAGGAAAAAGCATTATAAATATCAGAAAATTAGATGTACATTTTTTCCTGTCACTTTTAATTAATTGTAGGGTTCAGATATGATTTCTCTATATGGTTATTTTCTTGAAACATTCCTTTTAAATGGCTTGGGGCTACTCTTCAAATTATGGCAATTGTCAAGGAAGAGCAAACTAGGTTATAAATGGTTTTAGAAATAATACATTGAATTGTAAATGACTTTATTGCTTTAATTTAGAAATATTTGCTGAGTCTGTGGTAACCAGTTAGTGATTGTGAGTTAGTTGTGCATCTCAGATGACCTGAAATACTTAGAGATTACTGTTTAGTAGCAAAGAATTTTGACCTGCGTGCTGACTTCTTTTTTAGCAGACTGCAGCGCTGTTGGAAGATCCAGTTGGTGGAGAACACCTAACCCCTAACGCGGTGAAGCTGGAGACTAGTGTTAAACTGCATGCTGCCTGTGGTTGCCATTTGCCAGCTGAAACATCAGGCCTTGAGTGTTTCAGGATGCTTCTTCACAACCATGTTCCTCGGGCAGACTACCAGGCCTGATCTGCTCTTCTTTGGACCCCGTGCAAAAGATGGAGATGGTGAGAGGACTTGAAATGTTGCCTGGGGGATTTTATAGCTGTGAAGTGCAGCACTACAATGAGTATATTGCCACCCCATGGCTATTTCTGCTACCTGCACCCATGTTTACTAAGCTGAACTGTACTTTTTGTGCCTGCACCGTGCTGGTGTGGAGGTCCTAATGGACAGTTTGTTTGCAGCTTAACTTCAAGCTTCCCCTCAAAGGATTCAGTCAGGACAGAAGTGGGACACGTGTGCCGAGAGCTTGGCTTGCAAGTGCTTTGCAGGAACATGGAAGTGCTTTCTGGGACTGAAGGGATCCGGCCTCGGGGATGGGTGATTGGCTCGGGGACATGGTGGCCCTCTGTGTGACAGGAGGGGCACAGCCCCTCTGGAGCAGAGTGTTTCGGCACTGGAGGGATGGGTAACTTCTGGGAGCTGAAAAGCTGGTAGGGGGACGCCATGGAATCTTGTCTGACACAGGAGAGGAAAGGGTTTCCTTGCAACGTGCATTCCTTTCCATCCTGCAGGATACCGGCAGTCCAAGCCTGTCTCCTGGGCCCATCATTTCCAGCCAACTACAGGCAAACAGCTTGCTCCCTGAAAGCCAGCTTGCCTTTCCTACTTCTTAGAGAAATCCTCACTGCCCAGGAGAATGAACGTCAGTTCTTCACAGCTATCGTCCCAGAATAGCAGCCAGAGCTGCAGAAAGGAGACCATGAAAACTCACCCAGCACCTCGCAGTGGATGTTGTCCAGACTGTTTGGAGAGGTGGGCCAAGCAGTACAGCACCACATGGAGGTTGTACACGGAGGAAAATTAAGATGGCTTCTGCATGTAAAGCCTTACGCAGGTGATAGTGATTTGGGTACTGATGTACTGCTGTCAACTGCAAGTGGTAGGACAGTGTAGGCTGCACTCAGTTGAAGTGAAGGTTCAGGTGGCAGCTTTGAACTATATGTTTCAGAAAGATGTTTGGCCCTAACCTAATGCAAAATAGACTCCCCAAGTCAGAGGTGAGGAGCCTCAGCACTAGACATTTCAGTCTGCTGGTCTGTTTCTGTTGCACCAAATTAATTACTAGTGTAGACGGTCCCACCACCTTGAGAATTCTCAAACTTCCTGGACTGTAGCATCTTCCTAGTAAGCATGGACATTGAAGACCTTACTACAAATCCATCTGGAAGCACAGCAATGAGGGACAGTGCAAGTCTGAGGGAAAAAAAGAAAAAGCTCATGTTCTTGCTATAGGAATCATTCTGAGAGAGAGAAGAGACTACCTGCAGCTGCTATTTTATCACCTGGTATTTGCTTGCTGTGACTTTAAAACAGTGGAGAAAATTCAGGTAAACGGTGCAGCTGGGCAGTGCAGGATGCATTGCTGTGTGAAAAGGCAGCTGAAGATCACCAAAATAATTTGGAGCAGCTTTGATGACACAAACATTACTGTGAGTACTGATTCCAACAGGAGTGAAAACATCAGAGGTGTTCAGCTGTGTTCAAGGATTGTGTTGATATGGTCTGATTTACAGCAGAGTAAACCAGCTGCAGAGATAGGTCTTCAGAGGAAGATTTCTTTGCGGTGGAAGAATTATACTTCCAGGTTCTGTTTTCTATGCTTTGACTGCATAATAAATATTTTTTTCTTAGTTTGCTTAATATTCTTGATAACTACCAGTTGCTGTGGAGCCACGAACCTTTTCTGCCTGTTAGCCAACTGCAAATAATTGTCCTTAAAATCTCATGCAAAAAGAGCAACCCAAAAGACCAACACGCAGAGCTGAAAACAGTATGTTTCTTGGAGATTTTGGTAAGACTTGAATCTGTTTTTTTAATGACTAATCATTCAGGCATGCAGTGGATTTATGGAGACTTAGTTACTGAATGTCAGCCAAACTCTGGGAATTGTTTTGGTACATTGCCTCAGGCAGGGCAATGTGGTGCTACCAGGCAGCAGCTCACAGGAAAGGGTTGTGATGCAAAAGAGTGGATTTTTAGGAGCAAAAGCAATTTGTTAGTGAAGTTGCCTAGATTGAAAGATCCATGTGGGGGAAATATGGGACACTTGTATATCATAGGTAAAAAAGTCACTTGGAAATTGCTATTGCACGTAATAGGGAAAAAATACCTGAGAGGACAAAAAGCACAGGCAGGTCAGAGTTTGAGGAAATTGTCCAATAGCAGCTGTTCCCAGCTCATTGAATTTTTGTTTTCAGTTTGGTTTCAGACTGATTTGAGCCAGACCCACTATTTTCCTCCCATTTCTGGTAAATCTGAAGTTCCTCTGATCCTTTTCAGCTAGATCGGGGTTCTCGTTAGCACTTGTGCTCACAGCAGGATGCCGTTCTCCTCAGCAACAGCTAAAGGCCTCCAGGCAGGTCCACTGTATGTGTCTGCCCCCAGGCTGGACATCCCAAAACCGTAATGGGCATATCATGGAGCAGACTGGGGAACCACCAGATTTCCTCTCTTTGATACTTGTAAGCCCAGTTATTCTTTAGTTGTGGACATATTCCGTCCAGAAAAAGAAAGTTGTCTCTTTTTTCCCTTCCTTTGCTGGCCTGTGCTTCCTACGTGATCCCTCTGAGCTGCGGTTGACATCTACTACCCGGCTGGGAGGGGAAGCACGGGTGAAAAAGCACAGCACCCGAGCTGGACGCAGAGAGGGGCCCCGCACTCCTCCCTGGGTGCCTGTGCTCGCTCTGAAAACAGCGAGAAGCGAGGCAGTAGCAGGCGCTGGGTGCCGAGACACTCCCGTGGAACCAGCCGTGCACTGAAAGCGCAGTATGGGCTGAAATCTGTGGCCCAGTGTTTTATACTTAATGTTTCCAGTACCACAAGCTTTAGAGAAAGGTGAGAGGTGCTTGAATTATCTGGCTATAAAGGAAGTTACTTTTAAATTTCTTAAAGCAACGTATGCTTTGAAATACAAGATTGTCAGTCTTGCACTGTGTTGGAAGAGTAATTTTGCTCTTCAGATAGAACGACAGCACAGTTCTGGGTGCTGCTACCTGTTTCAGTTGTCCCCTGTATTGCTGACAAGGGTTTAAAAAAAAAAAAAAAAAAAAGACTCTTTTGAGAACTCAAATCTGCGGAGTTGATTAAATCTATTTCTTAAGTATCAAGAAATAGGTAGTTAATGCTTAGGAAACTGGCCTGGGTGAGCCACCCTCCTGCAGGAGCAGGCCCGGTGTCCCCAAGGCAGAGCTAATTTAGTGAGTATTCAGTGATGGAAATAATGAGAACCACCTGACTTGCCACATGAACTTTTAATAAACACAGATATTTTTGTTTCCTCCACGAAATCATTAGAGGGAAGTGCTTTGGGACCCCAACTGAAACCCATGTGGGTTTCCAGTGTCCTCCAACCATTCAGCGCCGTCCCAAGACTTGGTTTACGTGCCTGCAAGTCCTGGCAGCAGCCGAAAATCTGTCAGGAAAAAAAAAAAAAAAAAAAAGCAAGCTGGGCTGTAAGCGGGACGGTTGTGGGCGAGGGCCCGGCCCGCCGGCCGGAGCCCGCGGGGGGCGGAACGCTGGTGCGCGGAACGCGGGGCGCAGCTCCCGTTGCCAGCCGGCAGCGCCGGGAGGACGGGCCGCCGCGGCCTGGGCGCGATGTGGGGCCGCGTCCGTGGCTGGGCCGGCGTGGCCGTGCGCTCCTGGGAGGCGGCGGGGAGGCCGCAGAGGTACCGTCGCCTCCCGTGAATCCTTCACACGGGGGACAGGGTGGGTGGGTGGGTGGGTGGGTGGCTTTGCCGGGCGGTGTCCACGGCAGCGCCGCGCGTCGCCCCGAGCCGCGGCTCTCTGAGGGGGGACGAGGCTCCCTCAGCTCCCCGGGTAAAGCCGCTCCTGCTCGCTGCGGGTGGCGGGGCCGGCCCGCCGTGGGCCTCGTGTTTTTAGCGACTTTCTCCCGCGACTGTGGCGCTTGTAGCGGGGTGCGGGGTGCCCGCCCGCCGCCGCCCGGCCTTCGGCTGCCGGGTGCGTGGGGGGGGCTCGGGCCCGAGGCCGTCTGTCCGGCTGGGGCTGCGTGGTGTTGGCACCCGTGGGCCGGGGCCGAGGGGAGCGGTTTGGGTTGCGTTGCTTCCTTCGGAGGACACGCTGCGAGCGTGATTTTTGCAGCGTGGGCAGGAGCAGAGTGGTGCTGCGTGTCGGCGGGGGTACCTGCCCAAAGCGCGGGCCAGAAGTAATAGTTGGAAGTTCGTTTTTATTTGTACTAAAAGACCTTTAACTGCGCTTAATGAAAAGTCATTTATTTATTTAATTATTTATTTATCCAAAAGTAAGTTGTGTGATTGGTCGATTTATTTATTTATTTATTTATTTATTCATTCATTCATCCATTCAAAGCTCCTCAATAATTTTGAACGAGCTGATACTGTGATAGCCTCACGTATAAAGCAGCCTGGTTTCTTCTGTGTTTTGCTCTCTAAGCCTCAGCTTCCAAGCAGAAGGCAAACCTGATGGTAGGTGAAATACAGTAACGCAGACTGCAGTGTGCTACTGGCTATAAATGTTTAAGGCTTGCAGTCTTGCTGTGTTTTTCTGGCGGTGTGAGCAGAGATCTCTGAATGGATAGTTTTAAGGAGTGTGCAGCCTGAATTAATGAAAAACATGTGTTTGAAAAAGATCTGTGGGGAGCTGCTCAGTGTAAAACAGCAGGGCTCCTACCATCTCCTCAATAATGTGGTTCCGAAGCCTGCCTTAAATTTTTCTCTTGCTTCTCCACGTCGAAATTTAGGGTTTAATGCTGACAATTGAATGCCGACAATTTATTAAGTTTGGAGTGACTGAAATAATCTGGTGCCACAAAAGCAGATTTTTCCTTTTTAGCTAGAGGGGTGTGTGTGTGTGTGCGTAAGGTATGTCAAAATTCCTTCAGTTTTGTTGAAGTGTTTTAAGATCTACTGAAGTCCTCTATTTTGAATAGAAATAAATATTTAATTGTAAGGGTTTTTTTTTCCTTATTTTAGTAACTTGAAGGTGAGTTTTAAACTAAACAAGTAGCTGTGAATTTAAAGATTTAACATTTCATTTTAGAATGTTAAAGAGTCAAAGTGTTAGAGAGTTCTTTGAAATTTATGGGAGTTTTTCCAGAGAATCCAGTTGTGTCTGTGTTGCAGCAGTATCCTGATCAGCTCCCTGCTGTCCCTGGCTTCACATAGTTGCCTGCACTGTGCCAATTTTAGCTACTTTGCAGTAATGTGGTAAACTAGGTAGAGGAGCTGTTCCAGAGGGAAAAATAACCAAAACAGCTTTTTTGTTACTGGGTTATTTTGTAGGAGGATCCATTTCCTCATATGGCTGCACAAATGCTTGGCTGCTATTTTGCAGGACGTAGGGTAGGGGAATGTGATCCATAGTAGTGCCACTTGTGTGAAACGATGTGAAGCTAGATGTGTGTGTACAGTCTTTTTTCAGGCAGCTAGGAGTGGTCTCTTTGTTGCCTCATTTGAAGAGTTTCAGTGAGTTTTCTGTAATACTAATGAATTTTAAGTATCAGGTACCAGTAGATTGAAACTGTCTGCTGCCTAATGCAGAGATACTTTAAAAGTTTTAAGTTCATAGATTAAACACACTTTATTTGTGGAGGAAATAAAGTTGTTTACTTGACTTTTTTTGTGATGAAGAAACTATAAATAATCAGGAGATTTAAATGGCTCTTCTCAAAAGTCAAAAGGTGCATGTTTGACATGTACTGAACACGCTCAGTTTGCGCTTGGTTAGGCCTAGACAGTTGTAACTGATGGTTTCTTTGTAGACATACAAAATTCAGCCTTGGACCCTAGTTGTAACTTCTGATTTTTATTTATTTATTTATTTTTTAAACTTTGTATATCATCTAGCAAAACACAGAAACTCTTCAGCACAAGCAGCGTGCTTTCTACTGAGAATGATAAACTTGCTGCTTCCAATGACAGCACCACTGAAGTGGCATCGAAGAGTCAGGAGGGTGCAGCAGAAACACCAAAGCAGAAGTTGCTAGACATTATTGGTAATATGAAGGTAGAAGTGAGCTACAGGAATAAACTCCAACAGTTAAAAGCACGTGAAGTCAAAAAGCAAGACACAAACAAGCTGGAAGGCCCGGACAGTGAACATGCTGTGCTTCAGCAAACTACAGAAGACATCCAGCGGTAAAGTATAACAAACTTTTGTTAGTCTGTTTTCTCCTTTTTTTTTTTTCAGATTTTTTTTTTTTTTAATTATCTAGGACAAAAAATAGCATCATACATCATTTCCAAGTATGGAAAAGAATCTTGTAAGGGAATGTGCTGTACAGATGTAGATTGCAGTAAATCGCAGGGAAGAATCTGGACAAAAGACACTGTATACTTTCTACCTTTTCTGCACTGAGCATCTGCCTGCGGAAGGTTATTTTAACAGGAGGGGGAGAATATTGTTCAGATAAAATACAATAAAACTGAGGAAGAAGATAAAAAATTTACGAATGGCACCATGGTTGTCAAGTCTTGCGAGTGGCTCCCCGCCGCTGTGTGTCCCAGCATGGCCATGACCCCCCGGCTCTATGCTGCCTCTGGTCTTCGAGCTTCGCGCCCCAGGGGCTGTGCAGTGGCACAGGGCTCCCATTTTCACAGGTTTGAGAACAAGAGGTGCTCAGTGTCATTTGGCAGCTGACGATTACTGCAACACAGGGCAAACCCAGCCGACCCCCTGGCCGCTCCCATTTGGGATAATGTGTAACTGTAACTTCTGAGTTAAGACATAAAACGACAGTAGGAAATGACTAAATATATTAAGGCACTTTGTTTTGGTTTGTTTTT